TGTTTGGCAGGTCCGGGCTGGGGATTCGAACCCGCCACCTTAGGTGTACGTGGCTGGCGCCTTAGCCGGCTGAGCTATAGGCGCCGAGCCAAGACCGTATCTTATAAATCATCCATAGTTGTATCCATAAAAGCTCTTCTAAGAGTAATAATGATATAATAGCTATTGTTTGCTAAGAGCTTGCTCTATCAATGAAGCTCTTTGCAGAGTGGTTGGCTACAAAGAGCATTTAACTTCATCATCACAATGTCTTATACAATTGTATTGGTCACATTTTTCAGAGCAGTCAACAGTCTCTGGGATTGGGAATAAATAACTTGCCTCAGGTCATAAAACTGGCATTGAACCCACTAATTCAGATTTGTCCTGTGACTCTAAAATTTGTATTGTTAAACCTATGCTGATGATAGTAGCAGCAAAGAAATTTCTATTCTTCTTCAAGTCAATACCACCTTAAGATGGAGTTATTAGAATTTTTGTTCTTATTGTTGTTAAGCAGGCCCAGGTGAGGTTCGAACCCACCACCCCTGGTATGCAGGTCTGGTGCCCTAACCACTGAGCTATGGCACCCAGTCAGAATTTGTAATGGAAAAACTCTGCTGTAGAAAAGAATTAACATCTGAGTTGAATTCTTTTTATAATAAACTCCTCCTGGTAGACATCTGAACATCAGTATTTAAACATGAGTAAACCCTGCATCTACCCTGTCATGAACACCCTTAGTGACAGCTGAAAGAGTTAGGGAATCTAAAACTTCAGAGATAAAAGGGATTTCTGATCTTAAAAAGTCATTTAGCTTAGGAGTTTCAAGACTTTAGAAATTCACAAAATAGTAAAATCAAAAAGAAAAAAAAATCAGGGAACGCTGCCTAACAGCTGCCTCCTATGAAGGGCCTCGCACCCCGAGACACAGGCAGACACCCTGCTCCAGGACGTGTGCCTGGAAGCTATGGCCTCTCAGAGTCTGCCTCTGTACCAGCTGCCCAATATTTCTAGTTCTGCCTCCTTGAGACAAAACAACTCTATTCCTTGCCCAAAAGACAGGTAACCGTGTTGCGTTTTCTTTCCCCTGTTTCTCGGGTGACGGGTGCTTCAGACCTGTTACTGTTTGGGTTTCTCTGATGTGTGCCAGCCTCTGTCCCACGCCACCCGAGAAGCACAGGCCCCTGAGTAAGGCTCAATCACACTCTGAAGTACGGTATGACTTTTGCTTGCCAAGATCTGTGTCCAGAGTCACGTTAATAAATGTAGATTCTGCTGCCACCACCCAAGACGATGCCAGCCTTCTTGGGCTGATGTGTGTACTGCCTGCTGACTCACTATGAGCTGTCAGTGAGCAGGATGCTTACGTGGAAATGTTTTTACATGGGAGTATTCCAAGCCATCGTAGCCACATTTATTCTGGTTTGTTATACGAAAAGAGTGTCTGGCTTATGAAGGATGGGCTACCAGGCATCATTTGCTAAGTATAGCTAAGGAAACAATCCAACTGCTCTCTTACTCTGGAAGGCCGGAAACTTCAGCCTCACCCAGTGCCTGGGCTCACCTGAGCAAGTATCCCACGCCTTCACACTGCCCCCGACTCACCTTTCAGGTGGAAACGACCCTTCTTCTCTCTCCTTACCCACGTTGTTCCCATACACACTGTCACTGCACTTCTGACACTTTCATTGTACTTGCTCACTGACACATGTTTCTTTCTCTAAATAGTAAGCTCCTCAAAGCCATTGTTATTGTCCCCCTCTCAGCACATGCCAGAGTTCACGGATACTATAGGCTTGCCATAAACACTAATCAAAAAAAAAAAAAATTTTTTTTTTTTTGCAGTTTTTGTCCAGGACCGGGTTTGAACCCACCACTTCTGGTATATGGGGCTGGCACCCTACTCCTTGAGCCACAGGCACCACCAACTTATCAAAGTTTTAAAAACAGTCCCTTGTCCACCAAAATTTCATCGCTTCACTATGAAAATAAAGCAGCAATATACCTCTGAAAACTATAATTATATATAACCCTGCAGTCATAAGACCTAGCAATGATGCAGATACCAACATAAAAAAGATATCTGTATCAGACAGGCGACCCTTGGCAGGATCTAGGAGGGCAAGTGCAAATCAAGGTCTAAAGCAGTGGTTCTCATCCTTGGCCACATCCCCAAATTGACTTTAAAAAAATACCCACACTTTAGCCCCATCCCAAACCAGAATCTCTGGGGTGGACACCAGGCATCAGTACCGGGAGAGGGGGCAGAGGGAGAGTGCAGGGCCTGGGCCTGAGCCTGAGAATGACAGATCTTACATTGTTATTAGACTTCAATGTACTAAGGCCTCCTATGTCTATTTTTTCATTATCCAAAGTAATCCCACAAAGCATTATTTTCCCTATTTTAAGAATTAAAAAAACAAATTGGCCAAGTGTGGTGACTCACACCTAGAATCCCAGTACTCTGGGAGGCAGAGGTGAGAGGACTGCTTAAGGCTATGCATTTAGGAGAATAGCCTGAACAAGAAAGAGACTCCTATAGCTACAAAAATAGAAAAATCAGTCAGCATGGGGTTGTACGCCAGCAGTCCCAGCTACTCGAGAGGCTAAGGCATTACTTAAGCCCAGGAATCAGGGGTTGCAGTGAGCTATGATTCCACCACTGCACTCCAGCCTGGGTGACAGAATGAGACCTTGTCTTAAAAAATGAAAACAAAACAAAAAACCAACAAAAGAAAACAAAGAAGAATTAGAAAAATGAGGCCCAGACAAGTTGTGGTTGCTAATCATCAGTGGTCATTAATCCACGTCTTAGACTCTTCCCACTCTACTCAAGCTGCTGAGATAAAACAGCAGAGCAGGGAGGTGTCTAGGGGGCTGACATACCAGAGTCTGAGTACGAGGACACAGCAGGAAACGATGTCTCCTTACTGTGAGCCGGGCACTGTGGGGGCTTTCTCTTATCAACCTGCTCACTCCTACACACTCTGTTGGGGTAAATCATCTCATTTATCCTTGTTTTACAGATAGGGAAACTTCAGGGCCAAGAGCTAAGGTAGCTTACCCAAGGTCACAGAGTAGTAAGCCTTGACAGAGGTGAGGTTCAAATTCACAATGAATGGCTCCAGAGAGGCTGAACTCTGAGCCCCTTGGCCAGGCTGGAAGGAGGAAGCAGGGCCTCACAAGCAAGCTGGCCGGAGACTGGGCAGTGGGCTCAGCTCACCAAGTACTTATGGAGTGTTTCCTGGCCACTAGGCATTCTCCTGAAGAGGAAGTACCACGCAGCCCTGGCCCAGAGAAACTGATTGTCCTAGAAGGACATGACCAATAATGTGAAGGAAGAACATCAGTACTGGGTGAATACCGGCAGGTGGGGTCACAGAGTGGGAGGGTCAAGAGGAATTAAGATGGCAGATGTGGGTATGTGGGGCCATGGAACTGATGCCCTCCACAGATGAAGAGAGGCCAAAGAGCTGGCTCTGGGGGATGGTGTGAAGAACTAGTAGTACTCACTGAGCTCACTGTTTCCCAGCTCTGCAGGGGCTCCCCCAGTTCCTGATGTCACCTTCCCTGTGCGACAGCACTTGTACACACTGCTACTAAGGGGCCTAGCATGCATGTGCAGGCTGGCCATGCTGACTGTGCTCTGCAGTGTGTGTGCAGGCTGGCCGCACTGACTGTGCTCTGCAGTGTGTGTGCAGGCTGGCCGCGCTGCCTGTGCTCTGCAGTGCCGTGCCCTCATGCCCAGTGCAACTTCCCACTCACTGAGCTCTGGAAACCCGTGCCCTGTACATGGCGATGGACAGAGTCACCTATTTCACAGAGAAAAGGAGGTTCTCACAAGTCATTTGATTACACCCAACATTTTTTATAGGACAGTAAGTCTCAAGGCTTCTTTGCATCTAATCCCTTGCACGGTCCTGGCCGGTCAAGAGAATATGACAAATGCTTCCAAAATGAGAGAATTAACACAGGTGCAAAGACCTTAAGGGAGGTCAGCTAAAAGGGTGCAGTAAAAGCAAGAGGCAAAACTTGGTGTTTTTTCCAACATCTAAAATCTATAGTCCTAACAAGGATAAAAAGTCTGTTTGTCTTGGTCCTCAGTCCACATCCCTGGCAGCCCAGGGAAGCTATGCTGTCAGTGTGGCTGCTGTAAACTTCACTCCCAGATCAGAAGACACAGTTTAGGACCCAACTATCTGGGTGAGGAAACAAAAAAGGTGTAAAGAATTCATACACATAAAAAAAGGCTATTTTTTTCCCCCAATGAACGGGAATTTGTTTTTTTGAAAATGATTTTTCTCCTGATTTAGTCTAAAGTCTTCAAGTTACAGGTACCATCAGAGGCTTCTCTCACAAGTACAAAAGTATGTCTTATTTACAATAAAAATAAACACTGGATTTCAGGTTTCCAATTATTAATAATAAATAAGAGTATTCCCACCTGAGAGAAATGTTTCCCACAAATGTTACATTCAAAAGGTTTCTCACCTAAAACAAAACAAAATTTGAAAAATCATTACTAATACTTGCAAAATCTTTTATTTAAAGTGTGTCAATGATCTCCTGTGTCCTACCTTTGCAAAGAACATTATATTCTTTGTCCTAGCAGTGCAAAAACAGGGGGTCTCTACTTCCTTACATCCACCCTTTGTCCTTGGGTGCTACACAGAGACAATAAAAGTGAAATATTTATTTTCCTCTAAAAAATTAAATTGTTCTCCAAATATAAACCCGTGTTAAAATCAAACATATTTATTTGCATCCAAAGCACACACAGGTTTTGGAATAGTCTTTTCCTTCAGTTGAAAACCAAGTGTGAGCTTCCTTGTTGGACTGGATACTAAACTCTGCTCGCCTGCTCTGCAGCCTCACTGACTCTACCACTGAGTCTAACAGAGGTGGTCACTCATCTACACCACACGGCGCGAGCCTCCGGGGCACACACACGGGCAGGGAAAAGTTCCTCTCCACTGCCTTCCTATCTTGGCTTAAACAAGCTCACAAGAGAAAATAAGATTTCATTAGGGGCGACATGCTCCTCTGCTGACTTCTTAGTTATCTCGGATTTCAGTAACTAATTACATTTGGGCACAGAACAGATTGTAGGAAATAGTGCTTTACGACAAGGAAACAAAAGCTCTTCAGAACAGTCTACAGAAAATGCTCTGTTTAAAAATACACTTCAGGTATTACCTTTAATCCATATAACCCTAACAAATAGACTTTAAACCCTAAGAACCTTCCATTTTCCCCATTCTCCTCACATCAAACAGTGTCATTAAGATCCTCTTTAAAATATGACAATCCCGGCTCGGCGCCTGTGGCTCAAGCGGCTAGGGCACCAGCCACATACACCTAAGGTGGCGGGTTCGAATCCCCAGCCCGGGCCCGCCGGACAACAATGATGGCTGAGGCAGGAGACTCGCTTGGGCCCAGGAGTTGGAGGTTGCTGTGAGCGTGATGCCATGGCACTCTACCCAGGGGGATAGCTTGAGGTTCCGTCTCCCAAAAAAAAAAAAAAAATGACAATCCCTTCCCATAAGGGCCTGCTACCTTTCTGGGCTCATGTTAGGATATTGTTATTTTATCCTGAAAATGTTTAATGGCTTTCTTAAACCCCAAATAAAGATAATCATATTATTTCTGTATTTTTAGACTGCATTTATGTCTGAAATTATTGGGATAACAGATACTGATAACTTAAAAGCCTGATATGAGATGTAAGAGTTTGAAAAGAGGTCACCATAAGTGACCAAGGTCAATGACCCAACTCCAGTAGGTCTCAGACTCTTTAAACTGAGGCTCTAAAAAGCTCTTGTTTACATGGGCTGTATCTATAGATATATACCACACCAGAAATAAAAACTGAATGATTTTAACACGTTTCACTGGCTACCACGGCAGGGCTTTCTGCGTTACAGAACCTCTGGCAGACTCACTGTATCCTGATGAAAGCAGGAAAGGCCAGTGGCATCTTAAACTATATGAAAAGGTTTGGCTTGATAGACCCCCAAAAGTCTTTCCCAGGCCATACTTGGAGAATTGCTGCCCTGTAAATACAATATTTACATCCCAGTAAGCATATCAGGCCACATGACTATATCTGTCATTCAGAAATATTCTCTTAGAATAAACAATTTAATTTTTTTTGTTTCCTTTAAACCTAAACAGTTAAGTTTCTCAAATAAAAAATTATAGTACTCATGAGGCTGCAGGAAATTTAGGCAAACAGAATGATCCAAGTTAAGTTTTTTCAGGGCAAAACCGAATCTGTGAAACTTCATATGGAATAATTCCGAACTACCAGTAATAACGCTACTCTACATTCAAATGCGCTGACATGTATAAAAAGACTTGAAGTCCGCCCACAGTACAATGAGGTAGTAACAGCTCAGCAAACTGGGAATCTAAAGTTGTGACAAAAGGTCACGTTAACCAGTTTGATGAGAGTATTTCAAAATGTATATGAAAACAGCACACTGTACCCCATGATTGCATTAATGTATACAGTTATGCTATAAGAAATAAAAAAAGGTCATATTAATAAATGCAATTACACAACCACCTTAAAAAGAATTATTATGGAAGCATCCTGTTACATGTTGCTTCTCATGCCTGTAAGATAATTTGTGATGTGTTAATAAGGTCACCATGTTTAGCCATAGGAAGTAACACATACATACTATGTAACATGATGAGTACACGCTGTATAATACCTTAAAAAAAAACTCGGGAAAGAGGAGGAAGCATGAATTAAGATGATAAATCTTTGAAAATTCAATGTTGAAATGGAAAATTTTTCATTTGAAATATCAAATGGTTAAAGCTAATTCTTATTAAAAAGTTTGCCTTGGCTCGGCGCCTGTGGCTCAAGCAGCTAAGGCGCCAGCCACGTACACCTAAGGTGGCGGGTTCGAATCCCCAGCCCGGGCCCGCCAAACAACGATGATGGCTG